AAACCATTTTTTCCTTAACATTTTTTTCCATGTTTTAAGTTCATAGATGACAATTGGATTTACCACCTTTTTATGGGGTTAAGAAACAACTGTATTTATCACCAGCTAGATGTGCTCACTGTATGCTCCGTTACTTACATGCAAGGCCCGGGTGACTGGAAGTGCAGTGGTCAGGCATGTTAATAAACTGGACAGCCATTTGTTTCTGCACGACAAGGCAGCTTTACACAGGAGCCCCCAGGAGACCACAGGAAGCAGCCCAGCACTCTGCACTGCAACATGCCACCTTAGCAGCTAACCAGCATTACTCAACTGCTACACAGCTGTGCCTTAAATATCATCCAAGCCAATAATGAAATCTGAAGTCGTTCACCTCACTAAATTACAAGAAATTTGAATAACAGCAACAAAATGGCACATAAAGTGGAAACTTGCCACCTGAGGCAAGGCTTGAAACAAGTATAAAGTTAGACAAATGTTACAAAATAACCTTTTTCCAATAGCCAGTTGCTTGTTCCACGGGATGGGACTCTTCTGATGGACTGAGTATTGCGGTCCTTTGTCCCAAGTCCTCCATTATGTTGCTCGCTGAGACATCTTTGGTCTACGAGGACATGGCGCCTTCCTCCTCCGGGGACTTCGGGGGGTTCTTAGAGCGCGAGCGGGACTTGGACTCCCTTTTGGACACGGGCAGCGGGCTCCGCGAGCGGGACACCGATGACGACTTGGACCTGGACCTGGACCTGCGCGCGCAGCGCGACTTGGACGTGGAGCGCGAGGGGGAGCGCGTGAGCGAGCGGGACTTGGAGCGGCTGTAGCTCGAGCGGCTCGCGGGGGGCGTCCAGCACCTTGCTGTCCTTGGCGTCCATGGCGTCCTCGGCGTCGTGCTTGTCGGGGAAGCGCATGAAGGCGAAGCCACGCGGCTCCTTGGTGTAGCGATCCCGCGGGATGTACACGTCGTCCACGTGCCCGTACTTCTCCAAGACGCACCGCAGCATGTCCGGCGAGGTCCGGTAGGTCAGGTTGTCTACCTTCAGCGAGGTCATGCCCTCCGCGGCGGGCGGCTGTAACTCATGGTGGGGCCCGCGGCC